AAAATCAAAAATGCCAATCGAAACTAACTAGGTGGGAAGATAGAATAAAATCATTCGATTAGTCCATTTCACATGTTGCCGGAGAAAAAATTATTTTGAGCGATTATATATCTCAAGCTCCGAACTTACCTTTAGAAGTAAAACAAATAGTTTTATAATTAAATTCATCAAACGATTCTTTATAGCTCGCAGAAGTTTTTAGCAGAAAACTATCAACGAACAACTAGAGGACTCAAAAAAAGAAGATATTACAGTTATCTAATCAGATCAATTCCAGAAATCAGGAAATAAACCGCAAGAGGGCAAGGTTTTCGAGATTATATCCTCAATTATTCAGCTAGGTCTGTAAAATCCAGCAAGAGTCCGGCACACATGACTGTATAAGTTCTGACCAACCAGAGAAATCCACTAAATTTACGCTAATTTATGCAAAAATTTCAGCCAATCAGAGAGCAGTTTGATTACACCGCTAAACCTGGGAAAATTTTAGTTCAATCTCAATTCAAGTTTTTCAAAAAATTTTCAGTCTCACACATCAGTTTCAGTTCCAATCGTGATTAATTGATTTTCACGAAAAGTCACCAGAAAAAAAATTCAATCTAACTTCCATATCGGAACAAATAATCAACTTTGCAACACGTTCAAATGTGAGGTGAAGGACAGCGAAGAGACCGTCAGAACACGCATTGGCTAAAAACACGAAGCTAAAAACGACTATGCCAAGAAACATGCGAAACTCAGACAAAAAAATTTTGAAAATGCGGCAAAGGTCAAATTCATGATTAACAAAAAATTAACAAAATCACAAGGGAATTTACTTATAGTGTCTACGAATCGGAAATCGTTTACGACGGGTTTATCGCTGATTTATTAGCAGAACTAACAGGAGAGGGTAGCCAAATGGCACCAATCAGGCCAAAGACAGAGAGAGATTACCACTTTTGGGCAATTATCGGTCAGGATTCTGGGACGAAGCTACCGTGATGAACGACTGTGTCATCATTGTTAATCAAGTGGCTATCCCGATTTGATCGAGAAAGTCGGCGATGATTAGAGTATTTCGCACACATTCTGAACATGATTCCATGATCGACGCGGTAGTGTATCTGCGGTGGGCAAGAAAGCACCGCGAGATAATTGATCAGTGACAAAATTGCCGATGGTGTTCACCATATGGTAAGAATCATAAGTCTGCTGAACTTTTCAACTCGTCCAAGCTATTATCTAGTTTTAAACGCACAAATGAAGAGCTTCAATTTGTTTTGTATGCCCAATTTTAGATGAAGCAGGGAAGATTCTCCATACTGTAGTGGCAGTGGATCGTTTTTCTAAATATCCATCAGCTTTGATAACCAGATCAACCGGCGGGGAAAACCCTTATCAAACAAATTCAAAATCACCAGTACCGCTAAATCAATTAGAACAGATCAAAATTCCGGTTTTAAAAATAATAAAATCCAGCGGTTTTGTGATTAAAAAGGAATAATACAAACTTTTTGTCCATTTGGGGACCACCTTGGGTGTGGGTTAGTCAAACGCAGCATTCAGCCAATCAAAATAAAATTATGCACGATGCACCAGGCTCAAAGTTTTTGAATGTTCAAGCAGCGGTTGGAACCAATTTTAATATTAGATGTACGAAACATGCAATTGTCAAAAAGTCTACCTTCAAACTTCTCCTTGGAAGGAAACCAGATACTTATTTTTTTAAATTAAGGGACAATTTATTCAAGTTAGATCGAGAATACCTTAGCAGAGACAAGTTGACTCCGAAATATGCCAGAACAATCAGAATCAAGGAACAGACTCGAGGCAATCAGAGGGAAAAAAGAAAATCAAATTTGGGCAGAAGCAGCAGAATATGTGAAAAAAAACAAGTTGTATAGAATCTAGCCAAATAAGCAAAAAATTGGAGACAACTCAAACGACATCAGACACATGCAGAAGCCTCAGAAACGCTAAGGAGTCGACCAAAAGACTACCACCTCTCGCAGCCCGTTTGAGGAATGATTTGAACCAGAGGACCCTCAGATTTACAACAGAGAAAGACAAGAGTCGCAAGGATCTCAGTAGCCTAGAATTCAATCCTATCAGTACCTAAATAAAGTGAATGTATTCCGTAAATTAATAGGTCGGAAATCAGGACGTGTTTTCTTCAAATCATTCAGAAGGAAAAATTGTCAAAGTTACAGAAAATACATACATCACCAATAAGGGCAAAGTGATAAGAAAAAATCATATCTCTTCAAAACCGATCAAAGTTAGATCTATTTTGTCTGGTTTAGAGCATAGAAAGAGAGGAAGCCCTCTAACACCAGCTGCCAACGTGCAAAACGTAGCCTCATCAAGTTCATCACAAGGTAATGCAAAGAAGAAACCTATGTTTATTCTGCCCAGAGACGGTTTATCATCAGTTTCAGCGTCCTAGCAAGTTGCAGAAGCAGGACCACCGGCTAAGACCTCCTAAATTCAGGTCGAGACGAATTGGACGAAACCAAGTTTATCAAAAGGGAAACTCAATAGAAGTAGACTAGTAGATTTGGCAGTCACTAGCTAATTTTACCCTGTCCTCAGGGAGCTCCTCAGAGTGCTCCTCAGAGAAGGGGGTAAAAAAAGACCAGAGGTTAGAACAATGGTTGTTTATTCCCCGACAATCCAGATATCAGGAGAGGCAGGGTCATCATTGATTTCCCAGACAGGACCAGAACAGCTAACTAGAGAATCGCAGCCTAGTCCACTTCTACGAGCAGATGATCCGTTTATGCCAGAGGAAGCGGGAAGTCATACTCAGAGGAGTATTCATACTCAAAGGAAGTCATGCTCAAAAAAGGGTGATACATTTGAAGATTCACAACCCAAAAACAAACAGATAATAGACCAGCCAAATGAGGATTTCCAGCCACAATATTCGACGAGAGCCTACAGTCGAAGTAAGAAGCAAATGAACTTTTTTGGGAGCCCGGTTTGACATGCGGTCACATTAGTTGACATGGAAACAGTCGCTGTGTCGCCGGGTGATCTGTCCTAACCCGAGAGAAAAAGACGCATTTCAGTGTCACCAGGGGGCTTGCGTCAAGCCCAAAATTGCCAAAAACGCGGGCAAAATGTCAAAGAGAGCCATATTAAAACCAAAAACAAATGAAACGAGGATAAAACCTGAAAATTATGAATGAAACTTGCTTTTGTTGTTTGTTAAATTTTAAGCGAAAAAGTTAAAATTTTTGAAGGTCGGAAGTATCATACGGCGTAGTATCCGTATTCAAGGTCATGGTGTTATTTTAATTATGTCTATGTTACTACTGCTAACTGACACCTGTCAGTGCTAGTGAGTCATTCATGGTTTATCTCGACACTCTCTCGTCTCCGTTTTTAACGTTTTAAGATTACGGTTGATATTATTTACTCTCTCTGAAACCAATTCAACTAATTCGATATCAATATTTACGTACAATTTATTATTGTCCTTGAATAGTTTTCTAATTGAGTTTCGTGTAGCGTTGTTAAGGATATCTCACCCATGATGTCAGCGCAAAAAGTTTAAATCTTGAAAAAGCTTTGGCGTTTTTGTCTAAGACTTGTGCAAACCAAAAACCCGGGCAAATATTTAAAAATATTTTGAAAATACTCGCACAGGAGGAGCCGCAAGTGAACCTGAGATGCTCGCTTAGCGGACAATGGTGTTCTGATCAAAGCGAACTATATTTAGTTTCCGGGTTTTGCCATAAGGGTGTTTCATTATTCATGTTTCGAATGAAAGCTTTATCATTTTCAAAGGCAATATTTTTAGTTACCGTTCTTCTTTCATTAATTACCCGTCGTTTTTCTGCGACTTCAAAGAAGGTTTATTCTCATTACTAAAAAACTGCAATCTGTTCCTCGTATACCGTTTTCAGGATGGAAAAGAAAACATTAAAACAAAAAATTTAAACAAAAAGAACGGCTGGTGCACTGCAGTTTTTTAATACGAATATTGAAAATTTGCGTTTAAAACAGCAAGTTACTGCGCACTCTAAACTATAACATCCCTGCACATATTTGATATTGTTAGATTGAGTTTCATCAAATTGAGAGCCCCAATTTTCCGATGCAGCAAAATGAGCCATTTGGAAATTTAACAAGGGCTGGTTTTCAGAAAATTGAAAAAAATGTCCAATCGAGGTTGATAGCAATTACTTATTGATTTTCTTGCCTCTTTTCGAGCTGAAATTAACTTAAACAGAATTTGTGCGCTCTTCCGCATAAATTCAGAAACTTATGTTGTTTTCAACCTTTAATAATGCGAATGTCATTAATTAGTTAGATCACGCCTTCCTTCCAAAATAATGGTAAGTTCTTTTGCTGTACGAAACAAACAAGGCTGACACGCTATGAACAGCGTAGTATGAGAAGAGTCAAAACTTATTCGCATTGGTCAAAATTATGATGGTTGACGAAATTTTTCTTCAAAAAGTTTGCAAACAATAACGTTTTTGGTTTCTTTTTGAAAGATTTTGACAACCTTTCAGATATTTTAAGTTCGATCATGCAAAATGGCAGCAATTAATCAAGAGCCAAAGCGATGAATTATTGGGTGTTGAAGGGTGGCCTAATTTTATGATAAGTTCTCATGACCGACAAACTTACTGTTAAATTTGTAAAATTGAGTTAAGTTTCGTGGAGAAAATTTGCCAATGACAAAAAAATTGCTCTGAACATTTTTGTTGATATACTGATGACTTTAAAATATAATTTAATGGTGCTCAAATGTAGGTTCACTGCAAGAAAGAACAAATGGCAAATCATTTTTATAGAGCAACTAAGCTAGCGGTTATTAGTTTTCAAAGTTTTCTTTTAAACCCTAGTGTTTTTTGAACCCGTTCAAAAGTTTGTATTTCTGTTCTCTGTGCCTAAATAACTGTTGTTGGTAATGTTTTGATGATGATGATGTGCCTAAATAACTGTTGTTGGTAATGTTTTGATGATGATGATGAAGATGATGATGATGTTATTATTTTTGTTAGCGTGATGCTATGCCGAAGCGAAGAGCGACAGTGGCTGTGTTGGGGGCTTCATCGGTCGGCAAAAGTTCCCTCATCCACCAGTTCATGTTCTGTCACCTACACCACTTGAACCACCCCGCCCCCACCTCCAACCCCGCAAACCACCTCTCCTCAGCCCCCAGGTCATCCAGTGCCCCAACGCGATCAGAGAAACAACCGCAGGCACATCACCCAAACCTATTCGTCAACCAATCTCTGTAAGTATATGATATTTAAGAATAGCAAAACTTACCCCTCCTCGTTCATACTAGTAGCAATAAAACAACCCAAAAGAGTTATAGGTTTTAGAATTTTGAGGCTCAACATGTTTCCATACTGGGTTCGTTCTTTCCTGTTTTCCAAAAAAATTCGACGAGACTTCGAACCACCTATCTGTGTCTATGTTTTCTGTAATAAATGCGCTGTCTGCTAATCATGACGTCGGTTCCAGGTACGAGGTGACGATAGTGGATCCTCCCCACTGCAAAGACGAGGACATGTTTAACATGCACGAGTGGGCCCAGCTGCAGTTCAGCTGTGTGAATGCTCACCTAGCAGAAGCGTTTGTGCTCGTTTACGACGTATCATCTCCCCTCACATTCAAATACATTCAGGTGCTCAGAGAACAGGTGAGAACTTACTTCTAATTTTTACCCAATGCAAAACAAAGGCAAGTTACAATAATTTTATGTTAAACCTTAACAAAAATGAATTCGTACTCATTTTAAAACATCAGTGAGAAGAGATATCAAAATTTAAAAACCTCGGATGAGTCATGCACAAAGTCCAACAATTAATTGCATATTTATTTACTTTGCTCAATTTCATTCTGCTGTGACTCTTCATTCTTTTAACTCATTCGGATAAAACCACTTTGTTCGGTTGAAAACCCTCGCCCACTTTTCACTCTTAAATCATTCAACAGTAAAACGGGCCTCAGTTCTGGTCGAAAACTCGTGTAAGTAAAAATAAATCTCTGAAAATTCATTAACTTCATTAAAATTGCAATACAAACTACAGTAATACCCAAACTAAGCAAATAGTCGGATAACTATAATTTTTATGCACGCAATTCTTCCGAAAACAAGAAAACCTTTTTAAAAATTATCTTCCGAATTATAAATTTATCTCTATTGAAAAGTGTGGTCGGACCATTTCGTGCTACTAGCACAGAAACCGCAGTCTGTGTGGCTTAATTTTGTTTATTGTTTTCTCTCTTCAGATCAACGAGAGCTTTGAGGGTACCTCTGATGCTGTAGTGCCCCCTATTCTAGTGGTGGGCAATAAGTGTGACATCAGCAAACGCGCCTACCCTCTACACGTCGTGTCCGAAATCGTACGCATTGAACAAACCAGTATTTGTCATAGTTTTTAGTATAACTAGCAAGGCTGCCTCCAATAATCAATTGGCTCGCAAAAAATAGGTTGCTGTTCTGATCAAGCTATCCAATAAAAAAAAATTTTGAACAATTTCAAGATGGGCCAAATCGTAAATCAGGTTGAAAACTAGGTTTCATAGAACGAATCGGTTCCCGAAAAATGAAGTTTTTCTGAGCAAGCTATTCTAGCTATGAAACTCTGAGATATTTCAAAAAGTTTCATGAAGCAAATTGGATGACGCAATTCGGATGACGCAAGGTTGTTATATGGAAATTATTCAAGCAATAAAAATATTTCAAGTTGTTTCATAGAGCGAATCAATAAGCACAAAAATTAAAGTTTTCTAGGCAAGCTTGGCAAAAAGTTAAAGTTTTTTTAGTAAGCTATTCAAGCTATAAAATGAAACTTTTCAAGTTTCTTCACAGAGCGAACTGGTTCGCAAAAGGTTCAAGTTTTTCTATGCAAACTGTTTAAAACATGAAACTTTTAAACATTTCTAAGCTATTGCACACACTGATTTGGTTCACAAAAAGTATAAGTTTTTTCGAAGCAAACTATTAAGCTATGACACCTTGAGTTATTTCCAGTTAATTTATATACTAAAAAGTTAGCAAAAATTAAATTTTTCTAAGGAAGCTGTTTAAGCTATGAAACTTTAAATAATTAGAGTTTTTTCAAAAAGTAAAAAAAAACTGTTTTTCTGGTGAAGCTTTTTAAGTGATTTCCAGGTTTTCTCTTAGTTTTTTACTTATTTTTTTTAGCAGGCTAATGGAGCAAGGAACTTCGAGAAGATCCGGGCTATTTCTTAGACCGAATCGTTTTTGCCAAAAGTTACAGTTTTCTAAGGCAAGCAACTCAAGCGATGAAACTTTGACATAATTCAAGATATTTAATGAAGCAAAAGCTATGACGTTTTGTATCTTTGCAAGTTATTTCATAGACTGAATCGGTTCGCAAAAAAATGAAGATTGTGTATGCAAGCTTTTAAAGCTATAAAACTTTGAATTATTTCATGTTATTTCTTAGACTAAATCGTTCCCGAAAAAAGGTGTTTTTCTGATCAAGCTTTTAAAACTATGAAACTTTGAATTATACCATATTATTTCATAGACTGAATTGTTCGCGAAACATTTTTTCTAAGCAAGCTGTCCATCAAGCTATGAAAGTTTAAGTAAGTTCAAGTTATTTCATAGACTGAATTGGTTCACGAAAAGTTTCAATTTTTCTAAGCAAGCTGTAAAAGCTATGAAAAGTTGAATTATTTCAAGTTTTTTCCTAGACTGAGGCGGTTTGCAAACATTTTCTTTCTAAGTATAGAGAGTGCTTTTTTTAAGTGAATCGTTCCCGACTGAAATGAATCTGTAAACGCAAAACTTTGAACAAAATGTGGCAGGTACTTTCTAGCCTGAAAGTTGAATCGAGTTCATCTCGCTCTGATTGCTACTCTGAGTGATTCCTTTTTAAACGTTGCGCTCGATAGCCCCCTAAACGTTTAGCGTTATGCTGAAAACGTGTCATTCATTTATTATATAAGATCTAGATCACATGACAAAGAGTATGCAACTTTTGCGTTTCGACGAGGAAATGAACGAAACATTTTTTTACGTTCTTCTCGTTTTTTTTCTGCAAATATTAGGATATAGTAATGAAAATTTGGCACAAGCTAGTAAAAACTGATTTGAAAAACTTAGCCGGATCTAAACTCTTGTGAGAAAAATTTTGACAAATCTTGTCGTTCAGGCGAAAAATAGCTCGTATGTCATTTTTTGTTTTAGAGGTGATATTGCATCAAGAATTTGATTTTATGAGCTCTTTATCAAATTGTTTTTTTTGAAAGCCGTAGTGCTTAACTTGCTCTTTATGGCGCGGAAAAAAACAGATAAAATTATTGAAAAAAAAAGAATTTCCGCTCAAAAAAACATGGTTTCTCAATTTTTGATCCAGCAAGCCCCTTTCAAAACTTATCTAATTTATGGCATAACTTCACCTCTATATCTTAAATAGTTGCAAGTGAATTGACAAAACTGTGAAAAATTATCCTCGTTGAAATAAAAAAGTTGCAATTTAATTGTCTCGTAAAAACAATTGATTTTAAAAATTACACAGAAAATTCGCGATTCATCGAAAGTTTATAAAGCTTTTTGGATGCATGAACTTCCGATTTTGATGTGTCCTTAACTAGGAATGGTAAAAAAGGACCATGGACTAGTGAAAGGACTAGGAATGGTAAAAGGACAATTAAATAATTGTACCAAGCAATTATTATGTTCTCATTTTGAGAGTAAAACACAAAAAATATATATTTGCTTCAAGGTGAAGCCCTGAGCTTTCCCACCGCCATTTTACTGTTCTCGAAAGCTTTATGGCAATTCAAACTTGTTTGTTTTTCCTTCCCAACATGATTTAACTTGGAATTTTTTGAAGTTTAATAGCTTGAATAGTAGGTTGCTTATAAAAATTTTAAAAATTCACAAATAAGTTTAGTCTATGAAATAGCTTGAAATATTTCAAAGCTTCGAAGCTTGAATAGCTTGGCTTGAAAAAATTTAACCTTTTCACCAACCATTTTGGTATCTGAAAATGTTGAAATGTTTTATTTTTTCATTATTTGATTAGCTCGCTTAGAATAATTTAAGTTTTTACAAACTTATTCAGTCTATTAGATAATTTGAAAGTTCCAAAGCTTGAATAGCTTGCCTCGAAAAATTTTTCACAATCAATTTTTCAATGAAATAAATATATTGTAGCTTCAACAGTTTACTTAACAAAAATTTACCAATCCGCTTTGTGAAATGAGTTAAACTTTTAGAAAGTCTCATTGCTTAAAAAACTTGGATAGGAAAACTTGAAATTTTCGCAAACTGATTCGATCTATGAAGCAATTTGAATCACTTCATCGCCTGAATGAAACAATAGAAAAAACTTGACCTCTTCACAAACCGATTTGCTCTATAGTTTGTTATGAAATATTTCAAAGATTGATATCTTGAATAAATTCCTTAGAAAACTTGAAATTTTTATTAACCGATTTGGTATATGAAGTAACTTGAAATATCCTAATTTGTCCTGAATTGAATGGTTTGCATAGAAAAACTTAACTTTTCACGAATCGATTCAGTCTATAAAATAACTTGAAATTTCTCCAAGTTTCAAAGCTTGAATAGTTTAAAATAGCCTAAAAAAGAACAAACAATGTTTTTATACTATGAAATTGAATCATATGCACGAATTGAACAAAAACGCCAACATTTTTCTGAATTCCTTTGTGAAATTTGGTGTTATAAGAAATAGCAAAAAACAAAAGTTTTCTCGCATAAGAGCAACATTTTGAGAAAACAAAAACTATTTCATTGTTTTTAAACGGCAGTCGGAGCCTTCAAGTTTCAGCCCGGTACGATCAGTCTTGTTTTGTTTGTTTATACTTTGAAACTGACTCAAAATTCCAAGTCTTTGAACAGCGACTACTTCTACTCACACTGAACTCCCACGTATTTGAAACAAGCCCGCTTGTATATCAAGGCAAAGCACTCAATTTTCAGACCAATTAAAAAGTTTTTGGTTTCAAAATTAATATAAAAAGAAAAAAAAACATATATCTTTTGTCTTCCCTTGCTCTATGTTACGCACAAAGTTTTGATTTTAGCATCTCCTAACCTAATCACAAAACTACGTGACCTGCTGTAAATCAATTTTGCACAATTTCATTCTCCGAATACCCGTGTTATGAGAACGCAATATATCGCGCGTTATTAATCTCAAATTGGCCCAGTTGGCTTCTTTCAAACCACCATAATTTTACGAAACCAAATCACAGGTGAGTGATCAGAGGTGGTCACACTTGAGCTCTGGACAAAAAGCTTGTGCTGGAGCAAGCATTAAATTGGAGTTTTCTTTGGATAATTGTAAAACATTCTTGATTTTGGGTTTCAGTTTAATTTTATTAGCAGAACCCTATCTTGAACGCCTAAGTTGGGTGTCCTATGTTCAAAAATCACCTTCATGTTCTAAAAGAGTTATTTAGACTCCAGGCACATGTTGGTAGAAGCAGTAAAAATAAAATGAACAAAATGAAGAAAAATATAAAAAACCGGTTAACTGGTTCTAAACGAAATTTAAAACTAAAACAACTTTGTTCGTTCAATTTTTGCCTAAAATTATGATATCGTGTTTGTTTTTTCCATTTATACAATCAATGTCATGGTAAAAAGTCGACTACTGCTACTGGTGATGTTACTAAAGGACTCCGCTTTAAAACATTACAAAAAGTTAAGCGTTTAAAAATCAAATCAATCTAATTTTTCCTTTGCTATCTGCTTTTTTTTTCGAAAATAAAATTAGTTTGTAAAACCCAGACAGTAAAGATAGCGTCGTTAGGGAGAAATCCTGTCGCGTACTGACAAAAAATAGTTTGCAATCGTTTTAATACAGATAACTTAGCGATGACCTAGAAAATTGATTTGCATCGATTTGAAATCGATATGGTTCAATACAAAATTGTAACTTAAAAGTCGATTTCAGTCAATTCAAGTCTATTTATCAACATTTTTTGTTTCCTTTTCATACGGATTTTAGTAACAATAAAATCGATTTTTATTTCACTGACCAATTTTTTCTGGCCAATTTGACCAAGTTTTGACCTATTTTGAGGCAATATTTATTATGTATCTTGAAAGGTTTTCACCGAAAAAAAATACGTTTCTTGGGCGCGTGCTCCTCCCTCAGTTTTAGTACGTTTTTTTAGATTTCATTCGTGCTCAACAGCCTTCGTTGTACTAATGTTCGGAATAAAACTTAAGTTCACATATAATTCCGGGAAAAAATGGGGAGAGCAGTAAACATTGATAGGTTATATTTTTTGGGGCTGATTCGTTTCTTCTTTTCCCCGAATAGGGTCTCAGGTCTAATTCGTCTCGTGATGCTTTATGTCAGACACTCCTCTTTGCATGCGCACAGTTC